CCTTCACAGACACACAGACTCTAATAGTGTGAGTCATTACCTCCAGGTGGTGACAGCCAGGTGGTGTGGACGGCCACCAGATCTCACTAACATGCGTATCGAACTGAATCTCCTGTCCTTTCCATCTATTAAAACAGACGCATAGGGAAAAAAAAAAAAAACTTCACGCTCCACAAGGATGATACAACTAACATGATAAAAGTCGACTACAGCTCCTGCTCGTTAATGAACATCACGTGTAGAGGATGCATAGCAGCACAATCACACAGGAAGATTTACCACCCCCACTTTTCCTCTCATTCTTCCCAAGTCTTTTGGTTATGAGTGGAATCAAAAGTTCAGATTCCATTTTTTTTTAATAATCCTAAATCTAGTTATTAGAAAAAGAGACAGGTGGATACAGTAGGTGAAAATATAGTGAATGCAGATGGAAACATCTTTGAATTTGGGTACAGCAGCTTATTTTGGATTTTCTCTGTGTGTTTGGACAATTTAGACCGAAGAACAAATGTGCACGTCTTTCAGCGGCCATGGTTTGTTCTTTAGAAGATGACTGTGTGAGAAGTTTTGTCATTATTCATAGCTTTATTTTTCTTGTTTTTAGTGTTTTTGGTTTTACTTGTCTCTGTGCTTTCCTTGTTTCATTGTTGCCTTCAGTTGTGGACAGGATAAATTGTCCATGGGAGTTTGTGAAGTATTTTATCTCAATGCCCCCAAAAACTGGGATGCGAATGGTGGATCCCCAGACTTATTTTGAATTCATGGTAAGTTATTGATTCAACTCATTCAGTTGCTCATCACAACACACACCTGGTTTCCAGAAAGTATTCACTCTCCCATATGCTTCCTAGCTTCTTCAGTTTATTGCCAGATCCTTATGGTTTGTCAGTGCTGTAACCATCTATATAAATTATATTTTTGATTGGCTTGATTGACTACTGCCACTCTTTGCAACCAAGTACATGTTTATTGTGGGATTTATGCCATCGACCAGCACCCTGCATTTTTCTTTGGTTTCCAGCCCTTTTTTTAACTTATTAATAACCCCTTCCTACATTTGGGTTCATTCATATTTTTGTTCATTTATATCTTCGAAGACCGTGCCTTTATTTAATTTTATCCAGAAAGGGCTCAGTATGGTAATAACTATGCACAGTGTGAGCACTGTTTTAAATTGTAGATTTGATTAAGGCTTTGTGAAGAACAGAACTGGGGAGTCTGTAAATAGCCTCAAAAAGCCCTAAAACTTATCCTCTACTCGCAAATTACACCAGAGCCTCATGTTGATAAGGGCTACCTGCACCCTTGTGACTAATAATTTTCACCATGGTTTCCTACCACAAAATAGCCTATGATATTCTAGAAAGACCAACATCATTACAGGTTGGGCAAATGCTTCTTTATATATTTGATTTACAAATTTCTGAGATTACCAGGTAACACAATGTGAGTAATCACTTATTATTTTGGCTGCAAACAACCTGAGATGCATTATTATCTGATCACCTCTTCCTTTGTTCTGCTCTCCTAAGTTGCTGATTTTAATTATATCCCATGTAGATTAAAGCAGAGCTTTTTTCTTTAGCAATTAACCCAAACATTTGTCATTTTAGGTAAGTCCCTTTACAAAAACAAAGCAAGTAAAAGGATGCTGCACAGTTCAGCATAACTTACAGTACATGTGTGCAGTGACTTGGAAACTCATTAGAAAAAGAAAAATCTTAAATGGCTTTGTCCTTAACATCTTCACAATAATGTGAAGAGACATGCACTTAGTTGTGTTTAAAATTATAAATGCATTCTTTCCCACATGCCTGCACACATTACCATCAAACCAGTCTTTTCCAATTATTCTTTCATGTCATCGCAGGCATACGCTCCACAAAGGAAAGCGACAGTGAGATATAATAACTTAAACCCATAACAAGAAATAACTTTATAACTGAAGCTGAGGTAAAATAGAAGATTACAATATCTGCTCCGTATACAATGTTGTGTTTAATTTAATCCGCAGCACAAAGTACTTAGTTATTAAATCAAATTATGTGCTTTTCTAGATTTCAATTTCCAGAACCAAAAATCAAATTTTGCAAGGTTTATAATGTACAGCTTTTTTATTTATTTATTTTTTACATTTGGTCGGACAGACACCAGGTGTGATGACATCACATACAGGGTTTTTTTTTTCCGTCTAGTACATTTTCATAGTTTATTATTGTGCTCACCTATTTCCTATCATGATCCGCTACATTTTTCAAGTTTTCAAGTTCAGGTTTTGGCATATGCTATTCATGCCCTGAATTAATTGTTGCTCAAAAGGTCTTGCCAAACCCGTTTGTACCTTTTAATGAATTAGTTTTTTTTCTTCTTGTGTTTCATTCTTTGTGCATTTCTATTTAGTTTCCTCAACTTAGTTATTATGTCCTCTTTAGTTTCTCTCAAGTATCTCGTTTCAGACAGTACTTTACTTTGTGTTCAAGGTTTCTTTGAAGGCGCAGTCTTTCACTCGGTCAGTGAGACAAGCATGCACATGTCCACCCAGAGCAATCTGTGGAGAGCTGTGAGCAAAGAGGAAAATCACACAAGATTTGTGTTGCTCTAGCTCTCAAACTAGTGCTCTAGTTGTGAAACTAGTGCACACAGAAGGACTTTCTGCAGTGCTCAGGATAACAAGTCAAAGGTCAAAAGACATTGAGTTTGGAAAACAAGAAGCACGAGGAACATTCAAAAGAACAAGACGACAAAATGGCCCAGAACTCAAACAAGTTGTCAATGTGGAACATGTGAATGTCGTAAAATATGAAAACATATGTTCATATCGTAATTCGGTTGTGCTCACTCAGGCTGCAGCTGTAATACAATCTTTGCTGTTCAACCAAAGTCCAACCTGGAGAGCCTTATTCCTGAAGCATCACCACACGAGCATCTTGACAACACTGACAGAACACACCACACTTGTGTTTCCTGGCAGCTGTCAAAACGGGGGACAGCTGTGTGTTCAAAGTTTTTAGCCAGTCTCTTTTATTCTCTGTTTGTAGTCCAGTCTTTGGTCCTCTTTGTGGCTGGCCCTGACAATAGTCAATAATATTGCTGACTTGGCAATCTAAAATTGCTGACTTGACAATCTCTGGCAGACTTGTTTGATTATTTTGGCTGTCCTGTCAGCTATTAGCAGAAGCTTGGCTAATATGCTAATAGTTCAAGCTGGTAAACAGTTTAACTGAAAATAGAGGCAGTTCTGTATGTTGAGCTCAGGGAAGGCGGGCTTTGCTTCCTGCAGAAGACCGGTTCCCAAAGTTTTCAAAGCAGGCATCAGCATGGCACAGCAGTCTGTGTCAAAACTGTTACAAGAAACCGCCGATAACTTGGAAGACTAAAGTTAGTTTTATGAACTCATAAATCTCACGTCCTGCAGTTGATAATCAGAGTTAGCACACAGAGCTCAGATCTTGAAGGTGACTGATAAGAATGAAGCTGATTCTGAATCTCCACACATTCCCTTTATCCCTTTCCCCTTTCTCAATTTACAGTGTCACAAAGAGTCAGAAGGAAAAGAAATGAGAACACAAGGGAAATAAAACAGAACTAAGCAAATAAACGGATAATTGAAAAATAACAAGAAGGTTGAAAAATCAAAGAGGGGAAATATTAGGAGGAGGAACATAAATCATAAATGTATGGTAAAAAGTGAGAAAAAAATGTAAGAACTTCTGAGTATGGAAAAAATTGATATAAAATGTGTTGGTACAATAAAAATATATATGAAATGACAATAAAAATTGAAAAAAGAAATAAGAAAAACAAAATTGAAAATTAAATAATAGTGATAATGTTACATTTATGCTGCTGAAAATGAAAACAAGTATTAATTTATGTTTATCAGTATAATCAGTTGGTAAAGTTCCTTTTTTTATTTCTTGGATGCAATATTTGGCATATGAATTACTTTACAAAGCCATTTACTTATTCCTATGTTTAATGCCATTTATGTCAGGATCAGTCCTCCATAACAGACAATGGCAGAAGAGTAGCAGTCAGATTATGATGTGAGTTTTATGCAAACTCAACCACTTGAGTTAGAGTGAACAATGTGCTTAGTCTGAGACCAACCTAGCTAGCTCACCTAGCTAGCTCACCTAGCTAGCTCACCTGAGTCAAAACATTCTGGCATCCTTAAAGAGCTCTCCTTACCCCCTTCTTTCAATGGTCTTCTTTAAGGATAAACACAGTGGACTATTAATTATCCTGTCTTCAGGTTTTCTGCCTGTTCCTGAACTTTCTGTGTTTTTATCAGAACTGGCCCACACTGGGCCGTTTTCTTTGTCAGCCTAAGTAGACGCATCACCTGTGAAGGTACAATTTGACAACGTCTGCTGGCTCCATTTCAGGATTTGCATGCCAGTCTGTGGTCAAGGTATGTGAATTTGATTGTTGACAATAAAGTTCTGGAATGCATTTGATGGATTCAAATGTTTTTGAAAAACGTGATTTTGCATCTGCCCAGTGGTTAAACCACACGTTTGTGACTAAGAAGAGGTTTTTATTAGATTTAAAATGAGCTAGACTCACCCTGTGCTGTAGAATAGCTCCTTCAATAATATTCTAAGTATTATTTTAAAATTTATGCTGTTCTGAACATTTCTAAAGGATCACTTTCTGGATGGTTCTGAATAACAACCCATCTGTTGCATCAGATTACATGTGCACAGAAAGAGGCCTGATTTCAAGTGTTTAGTGGACACTTGAGCCATCCATTTACTCATGTATGTGGGCAGTAAAAGCCTCCACAGGCAACAAACTTGACTTGTCTAAAAGAAAAAAGCAGACTGAATGAAAACAGATTATCTTTAGTACAGAGAGCTAGAGAGACTCTACAAAGCTCTTCTAGGAGATGCACCAGTGCAGAACTGTATTCGTATCCACTTTTGGTCTTTTGGTCTCTGTACTGGAGAGAAATAAATGTGCTATTAGGATATGTGGGAGTTGTCACAGGTACTTACTGCACAGATTTGGAGGATTGGGACCTGAACTTGGTGAACTCGCCTGGAGCAGTCCACTCTGTACCCAGCTGCAACAAACAAGAGAGAGAACAGAGGTCAGAGTGTGAGGGAAAAAGAAGGAGGGAGGGCGAAAGCTGGGTTTTAAAACAGCATTAAAATGTTAGAGAGCAGTTTGCAAAGGTGTTCAAGAACCTCTAAGGATAAAAAAAAATAGCATTGTGCTTTTTTGAGTAGATATTTTGATGTTTAAAATTGTTAACTCTGACAGGGTTAGAGTGAGGCATTTTATTAGGAACCTCAGAGATTGAAGATATTCTACCAAGTAATACTTCCAGATTTCTACTGGAGTGGTAAGTCACTGACCAAACTCAGAGTCTTCCTGTCTTCATTTCTAATCAAAGTGATCTTGAAGCTTTCCATTCATTGTGCCTGGAAAGTTCAAAGTCGGATGCGTTTGTGTTTTTCTTATTCGTTTGGTGGGTTCTAATTAATTCAAGAAGAAAATTAACTGATTTTTCATTCATTTTTACATTCTAACACTTTAGCATCAAAAATTCTACATAGAAATTTTGACTCTTTTGCCAGCATCATGTAGACCCCCCCCTCTTTCTCTATCTCAACTGGAGGGTTTTTCCTTTTGCCTTGGATAACATTTCACTTCGCAAATTACATTGCGTGTGCACAAACTGTTGACAAAATAGCAAAAACAAAAATAACCCTAACTCACTCACTAGTCTGCAGGGACAGAAATATTACAATGTGAGGGTTTCAACTTAGGATTTTTTTTATTGCTTGGTGAATGCCAGTGAGAGCTTCATGCCAGCTGAATTGGTAAAAAAAAATGTGTTTCAAGGAGATTAAGTGGAATTTTAGTCTAAAACTTTGCAAGCAGAAACTTAAACCTGAAGGACAAATCTCCAAAAAAAAGATATAACATGATATAATTGCAATGCCTTGAAGCCTTTTTTAAGTTCACAACAGAACTGAAAACAAGACTGTAAGAGCCAGATTGCTCTCCTTTACTTTCGACATCGTGCAAAACTCAGGAATATCAAGAGGAGTTAATTAGGAGGAAAGTTCTGAAACATGCTGGTATATAAAAACTAATGGCTATAAAGAATGAGAAGATGAGGAAGAGGGATTCCCTGCCAATACTGACTCTTAAGAAGCGAGCTCATCAGAGTAGCTGGGAATCCCTTCATGGGCCTGGAGTCAAATCAGTGCCCATTCGTTTCCTCGGCAAGCCAACATGACTAATTAGGGCCCCTGCTACTTCTGATCCATAATGGAAGAATGCAGCTAAGATCACAGCGGGCATGTTTTCAATTGTCTGAGCTGGACACACTTCTGTGTCTAAAACTGGTCAAAAGGACAGTGTGGCCGGCAGTGGGGACAGATCACAGCAGTCTCTCAGATTGTAAAGAGCTGCTTATCCGCGAGCTGAGCTCCACTGAGATTTAACAGAGAGGAGCACACACACAGTGAGTCACACCTACAACTCGCTGGCGTTAATACAGCGGCATGTTTCAGTGTGTTTTGCTGGCATGAGAATAGAGTCACCACGGAAAAGAAAAAAAAGAAAAAACCAGACATCAGTGCCTGTCCAGAACTAACCAGGCCCCTTGCGGTTTTTAAAGCCTCTGAGACTGTCTCTGAGGCAGCTGGCTGGAGAGAAGGCAGATACAATATACACCAGTGTGCTTTCAGTCAAAACCCTGCTGCTGCTGCTGCTGCTGCTGCTGCTGCTGCTTTGGCACATTTCAATACCAACAGTGGCCAAAAATATACCAGACTGAACACAAAGGCAGATAAAAATGGCAGGACATTAAAGTCACTGTATGAGGCCACTTGAAATATAAAATTTAAAAAATGTTCAATTGTAATGTTTGTCAGTAATGCAAAAAAAAAAAAAAATCAAACTAGTTTATATTGCCAGTAAGAGTTGCAAAAGTATCTTGAAGTAGATCTTGATTTTTCTTTTCACCTATTTATACGTAGGAGGTTGAAGAAGAAAACAATGACAGATATTGTGATGGTTTGATCTTGAAAAGCAGTACATAATTCCACATTTAGCTTAGTTTGTCTCATTCAAACTTTAAAAATATAGTTCTTGTCTGGAGCAAGTGAGCAGAATATATTAAGTTCAAGTTTTTTATTTTTTTATTTTGTGATTCTTTCTCAGTCTGGGGTTTCGAAGGTTTAACCATGATGACATTCCCGTTATGCAAGCTCTGAACAAAACTGTCTTTTTGCACACATACTACATAAAGGTCAAGTCGGTGTGTGGTGGTGACTGCCTAATGAAAGCATCGCTTCATCACTCACATCTGTAGGGATGAAAGCAAAAGGGCGCAGTTTAATTTTAGGACTTTCAGAAACAGTCAAGAAGTTGTTGTTTTTTTGTTTTTTTTTGACCAAATGTTAAAAGAAAATAATAATATTAAGCTAAAGCTTGGCATGCGTGTCAAATTTGAACTACTTTTAGAGACAGCTTAATAAACCAGTTTCACAGATTAAATAAAAGATTAACAGCTTAGCTTTTATGTGCAATACTCAACTTTGTAAAAGACAATCTTTCTCTCTTTAATTCTCCATAGTTTTGGGTCCTATGTTATTTGATGCTCTTCTCCGTTTGCCTCACAATACAAGTTTTCCAGAAGATTTAGGTCTAGAGAACAAAACTGACACCGACGGCTGATTTCATCTCTGGTTAACCGTGTCTTTGTCGATTTGGTCTGATTTGGTCACCCTGCTGAGAGACCCATTACGGTTTTGTGGCAGATGCCACATTTTTTGGGATCAAAATGCTCTGATAATAGAAAGTATTAATCTTAATAGGAACTCAACAGGGTTCTTACAAATCTCTTGCTAACTTAGCAGTGCACATTAGATGTTTTGCCCCATATTCCTCCTTTGTCTTACTTACTTACTTATTCATAAAAGCTCAATGTTAGTTTCATCTAACTCAAGCTAAATTAAGCTACATTAAATTCCCAGTAGGGTTAAAGTTCATCATTCATCTTTGTGATTTCAGGACAGAAGAGGCATTGTATAGGCAGGCTTCCCAAAGCACCATTTGTTTATAAACCCCTGCAGTGGGCTTTGGAGATTTTGGAACCTTTTTTTAATGTCATGCATGTTGTGGGTGGTCGAAAATCCTTACAAGTCTGCTAAAGATACAACACTTGCTCTACTTGTTATATTGGTTTTATGTAAGACCATGAAGTGTGAAGTTTAGACTATTTTGCGACCCCCTCCATTAAGCTAACATTTTCATTTATTTTAGATTTTCGAGAAATCATCCAGCAGGCACCTTAAACAGAACGCAGGCCGGTAATCCAACTGTCTTCTTGTCCGTTTTTATTGTAGTCAAAGTTACAATACCAATAGGTGCTCATATTGTTCTAATTCGAATGGAATGTGGTGGCCACAGTAATTCAGGAAGAATACAAGCAGAAACAAGAAAAAAAACTCACTGAGATGGATTGTTCGTCTTATGGATGTTTAAAGTTTTAATCTTTTGAGCATCTACTGTTTTCCCCAACAATGTTTTTCCCTATAGGGATAAAAATATAATGTGGAAGCTAAGACATTTCGAATGTAGATTTCCTTAAAGACGTGAAAGAAACCCCTGAGCAATGACGATAAGCATAAAACTAAAACAGTGGATCTGAGGTGAAGGAGTAGAGAAACTATTGTTTTCAAGAACAATTTGCCCATTGAAAGCATATCATTCAGCTATGAAACTCTGTAAATGTAAACAAACACAGAATTGGAGCGAGTCCCTTCTCATTTTACCTTAATATGCAGACCCAAGCTAAGACTGAAAGATGCTTTAAATGTCACTGTGAATATTCTGAGACCGACTTTTTATATTTGCTGTTTTATCCTGTTTTGATTAAGTGAAGAGTCTAACTACACTTGAAGTACTGGGAAACGATTTCATCAGGGTCAATGCAAATCATCAAGCAGTTTGTGTTTAAAAAAAACAACAAGAAAAGCATAATACAGAATAAATTAAAAAGGAACCAATCCCACATTCACAAACAAACAACTTAATGCACCTTGGGAGTCGATGAAGTTGCGCCTGAAACTTTTGTAACTATACTATTTTGATCACATCTTACTGACCCAGTTTACTGTGTCGTTTTCTGACAGAATTTAGCAAAACGGATAATATTTCACTGTATTAAATACTTCCTGGATATGTACAGAAACTGGTACACATAAGCACATAAACAAAAATGTTCTTTCAACACCATCCAGCCAATGTAATGCAGTCACTGTGGCGAGAGGCAGATGGAAATCGATCAATCACAGCCTATTCACTGATAAACCAAGAGACAGGAGCCAGATCACATAACTGGCCTCATGAAGAAAATCCAGTCTAAAATGTGTAACCAGTATAGCGGCAGTGCAGCGGATGTCAGATTTAACACCAGCAAGTAACACGGTGTCACGCAAAGCAGTTTTTAGAACCATTCTCACAGATCTAACGATCGGAGCCTCTTGCCTGAAGCACCGAAAGAAGACAGAACCAGATAGTGTTACCATTTCAGCAGAGCCTTCCAACAGTCCAGACAGACTGGACAGACCGCAACGTGAGATTATCAAATACGAAGATGGACAATAAAGCTGCCACAAATTTCCGTGTAATGGCCCGGGCTCAGACCGTCCTTTCCGGCTGACTCAATTGATTTCTAGTTCCTTACAAGAAACAACAGAAATGTACTTTCACTTATGCCCTCGATAATTTGTGCAGCCAACTGCTAAGCACAAATAAAACATTTTGAAGGTTTTAGTGGTAAATGTCTTGCTTTCAACTGGAAGTGGAGTTGATTCATCGCTGAAAGGTGATGAAACAACATAATAGACTGTTTCATCCTTTGCTTACAATACAGGTGAAAATGCGCTGCATTGCAAACACAGGCAGAACATGCACAGAAAAGCCTATTCAGCTGCTGAATCACTGTGATAGCCTTTTCACATGTAGTAAAAATCTTTTCATTTCACTTAAGCCTGGATCTGAATCTGTGTGCAGCTCTGTAGGATCTGGCTACACATTATG